AAAAATGGGTATTAACTTGTATGGTAAAAAATTAGATAAAATATAATTTAAATATATTTTATTTTAATAAAATTTTATTAAAAAGATTAAAGTATTTTAATTATTTTTAAATAAAAATAAAAATATTTTAATTTTCTTTTATAATCTTTTATTAAAATAACTTAATTTTAAAATGTTTTTTTATCTAATTAAAATATTTTTTCTATTTAATTTTTTCTACACCGGAAAGGATAAACATTAATCTCTTTTCATGAACCCCAGCACTTCGACTACACGCAGTCACACTAACGGCAAGTACGCTTCCACCCCAGTTCTAATGGATTCAAAGGCACCATCGTCTTTTCCACCATCAACAAGCCAAACCATGTCTTCGATGTCTTTTCCGTCCAACTAAACCACATCACTGCCGCCACTGAGGACCGCCTCACTGACGGCTGCTCCATCAACTTCAACGCCCAATTCGTCGATGAAGACCAATCCGTTGTCTTCGTCTCCAAAAGATCAGGATCGCCCCAAATCTATCTCACTTGCCCTGGCCTACCCAATCCCGAGTAGCTAGCATCCGTGCCCCACAGCCTCTTTCACGACCATCCCATCTTGAAGAACAACCGCCTCTACTTTGTTTCAGCTCAAGAGCAGCCTGATCGCCAATTCCAAAGCTGGGCAGCTCTTCACTCAACCGAAATCGGTGATAAGGACAAGAAAATTATGTGGTTGACACCTTACGGAGCCGTTGATTACAGCCTTGCAGTTTCCAAGTCTGGGTGGAGTTCTTGCCATTGCATCGTATGGGTCTCGCTCGTGGGGTAGTGAATTTCACGAGCTCAACACGGATATAGTTGTTTTCCCAGAATTCGATTCGAGGATGATGAATCAAATGTTGAGAGCGATTTGTCTGACGATCCATTGGCTGAGGTTGATTCAAACGATGGAGGTTTCATCGTCGTAGGTGAGAGCAGAGAGTGCAGACGAAATTCATCTTTGAAATTGAAATTCATGGGTTACAGGTGAAATTGAAATACACAAATTTTATACTTTTTAATTACTTGGGTGAAATATATGTATTTCACTTAAATTCAATAACGCTTTATTTAAGTAAAAACAAACAATGAAATTGAATTTGAAGTATCCAAATTCAAATACACCATGCAAAATTTATGTTCCCAAACGGAGCATGTGAATTGACCGTAATTTACTATAGTTGAGTTAAAGTTAAAAATTGTTGACCTGTGATATATGACTCGTGATTCGAGTTGGCCCAACTAACCCGAACCTTTTTTGACCCACCCGTTTGTCACACCGAGATTCTCTAGGTACCTATATGAAGAAATCAGAAATAGAAAGTTAGATCGAAAGGATAAATAAGTATATGATTGATGTGAACATGATTCAAAATATTAGGGATATATTCAAGCAATTATTCCAATATCTTTAGGACTATATAAGTAGCGTTCGCCGTCGGCTACCCTTTCCTCATCCCCTTTTCGACCTCTCTGTTTCTCGATACAAAACTCTTCTGCACTAGATGAAGCGTGAAATATCTGCTGAGCTGGCGTCTATCCCATGTTTCTGCCCGAGCAAAGGCACGATGAGCGTCCGGTCATCTGGGCAGCAGCGCTCCATCGTGCTATCTGGGCAGCGCTCGCGATGGAGCGCTATCTGGGCAGCAGCGCTCCATCCATTGGAATTTTTGTTACATTTTTTTTTCCTTGGTATATAAGGTAGAGACTCTAACCTCTTCTTCCCCTCTTCTTCCACTCCCGAGATCTTTGCCCTCAGTTTTGTTTTCCAGTTTTCCGATTCTCGATCTCTCTCCGCTCTCTAGATCTCTTCCACTCCGTGAGATCCTTCCCTGCAGCTTTCCAGTTCTCGATCTTTCTCCGCTTTCTAGATCTCCAGTTCGCTTCAATATTCCGTTCAGTTTTTGGAGGAGTTGATGATTTCAGTCTCCGCTTGAATCTGCTTCTAAGTTTCCTTTTCAGACTTAATTCAAGGTATTCTGCATTCATTCCAGTGATTAATTTGGATCTTCTGTCTTGTTTCAATCTTATGATTCTGGTTCCTAGGGTTTGATAATTTCAGTGTTCGTTAGACAAGAATTGCTTGAATCTGCTCGTAAATTTCTGTGCCAGACTTAATACAAGGTATTTTGCATTCAATTCAACAACGATTAATTTGCTTCTTCTTCTCTGCGTAATCAACTGAAATGTGAAGCGATAATGATAAATCTGGAATTTTCGTGTTTGGAGATTTTCATGCTATTTTGATTGAAATTCTTAGTGATTTTGAGCTAATTCTAGAACTTCTTTCGCTTGCACAATGAACTGAGATGTGAAGCGATAATGATAAATCTGGAATTTTCGTGTTTGGAAATTTTAATGCTATTTTGATTGTAATTCTTAGTTATTTTGAACTAGTTCTGGAACTTGTTTGCTTGCCTAATGAACTGAGATGTGAAGCGATAATGATAAATCTGGAATTTTTGTGTGTGGAGATTTCTATGCTATTCTGATAGAAATTCTTGGTGATTTTGTGATAGTTTTTATGGTTCCTCTCTGTCAATATATCTCCTAGGACGTGATGGTTTGCTTTTAGGCTTAGATCTTTTTCGTTATGATTCCTAGTTCCTAGTCTTTCCTATGTCTGGATGTTAGTGAAATGGCTTAGTTCAATTCTGTTGTGCCTTGTTCACATTAACTTTAGGTTAGCTCTGTTTTACTTGTTCAATTGTTTCTTGATCATCGTTCTTTTGCACCACTTAGTTGTTTGGTTTTATTTCCTTGGTCAAAGTTATGGATCTTAGGTTAAATTTGTTTTTATTTGAGCTTGTGCATTCGTAACTTGTTTTGCCAGCATAATGAACCGAGATGTGAAGCGATAATGATAAATCTGGAATCTTCGTCTTTGAAGATTTTCATGCTATTTTGATTGTAAATCTTAGTGATTTTGGACTAGTTCTGGAACTTGTTTTGCTTGCATAATAAATAAACTGAGATGTGGAGTGATAATGATAAATCTGCAATTTTTGTGTTTGGAGATTTCTACGCTATTTTGATAGAAATTCTTGGTGATTTTATGCTAGTTTTTATGGTTTCTGCGGGTCAATATAACTCCTAATGAAGTGATAGTGTTTCTTTTTGGCTTAGATCTGTTTTGTTATGATTCCTAGTTACTAGTCTTACCTATGTCTGGGTGTTAGTGAAATGGCTTAGGTCAATTCTGTTATGCCTTGTTCACATTAACTTTAGGCTAGCTCTGCTTTACTTCTTGTTCATTTGTCTCTTGGTCATGGTTCTTTTGCAAAACTTAGTTGTTTGGTTTAATTTCCTTGGTCAAAGTCGTGGATCTTGGGTTAAATTTGTTTGAGCTTATGCATTCATAATTTCATATAGATTCTTCTTTTGTTTATGAGGCCAGGCTTAGAATTCTGAGCTTGAGTCATGTTCAGTATTAGGAATTTCTTTTCAAGCTAACTGGTAGTGGTAACA